CTGTCCCCCCCCCTTCCCCCCCTTCCGACTTTCCAATTTTCCTTCCATCAGGCTCACATCCTGTTGGACTGCGGAGACGACAACATCTGCAAGCCCGACCTCAGGCTGTCCGTGAAGAGGTATGTTTCTGTTTGCCTACGCGTTTGCTGTGCGGAAAACAGGGGGGGGGGGGGCTAACCGTAACCGCGTGAGTAACTGTACCCGCCGCTCCCCGATTGGCCGCAGCGACCGGGACCAGATCTACATCGGCGACGACAATGCCCTGACCCTGGAGGTGACGGCTGAGAACGCGGGGGAGGGGGCCTACGAGGCCGAGCTCCACGTCTACCCCCCCCAGCAGGCCGACTTCACCGGGGTGGTCCGCAGTCAGGTATCCAATAAAACCCGAGAACCGCCTCCCTTCTCAAGCTAAGCATCGGTCTGAGCTCGTCCAGTGGAAAAGTTTCTATTCATTTGACAAATGTGAGGAAAATTTGACTCAAAATGGAGCTAAAAGTAAAAACAAACTGTGCATGAAGTCTCCGGATAGCTTTTTGTGATCCCCAGTCCTTAATTAGAGCTCCTCTCTGAATCGTTTCTGGATCCGGTTGCTCTGTGTTAGATGTTCGATCATCATGTAAAAAAAGACACGGCTCGGTCCCTCACAGCGTTGTGCGTGTTTTGGTCATTGTGTCCAGACCCTGTCCAGGCTGTCCTGTGCTTACAAGAAGGAGAACCAGACCAAGATGGTGGTGTGTGACCTGGGAAACCCCATGAAGGGAGGAACCAAGGTCAGTTTACAGCCAATCACCAGCGAGCTTGGACTATAAGGTCTCACTTAATAAATCATACACAGTTAAACTTTATGTTTAGAACAAAGGCAAAAGATCTCTCATCTTAGTTTTACACAACTTTTGTTTTTGCTTGTTTGGTTTCTGTTTTTCTCTGTGTCACCTCCTGCTCTCTGATTGGTTCTTGGCTTCCCTCTTTTCTTCAGATCCTGGCTGAGTTGAGGTTCAGCGTGCACCAGCTTTCAGAAGAGGACACGTCGGTCAAATTTGACCTGCAGATAGTCAGGTGCGTTCGGTCCGTCTCCTTCCAGAACCAGGTCGGGGATGTAGCAGATGGGTGGGAAACGGCTCCACCTGCTGGGCTGTAGTCGTGCTGATAAATGTGCTCATGCTACCCCATCTGGGCCCCCATCCTTATTATCCTCATTTATAACACAAGTTGCTCCATTTTGTTGTCATTCCTACCACATTTACACGTAAAACAATCACACACGCTGCTAGTTTGTCTGAGGTCAAAGCAGTTTTTTGTACTTCCTCAAACAGGGAAAACACAGACTGTAGTTTTGTATTATTTAAAGTTGCACATACTTCTGTTTTTTTGATTGATAGACTGTTAAGAGTGTTAAGTTTTAGTTTCTGTTGTTTTGTCTTTTTCACAATGGTGAGCGAAAATAGTTGTGGTGTTAGTTGAGTGTCCAGAAAGGGAACGTCCGCCCTCTGAGGAGCTGCACGCTCCACTCATTAAAGCTAAGCCCAACTCATCTACGTGACCCCGAAACGGCACAGCAGCTCGCAGGCTTCACATTCCTCCCACTGTGTTTGTGTTTCTGTGGGTGTGTGGGGGGGGGGGGGGGGGGGGGGGGGTTAGCAGCTGAGAGGTATGTTAATGAGAGGTTCGGGCTGCTTTTGGTGGTTCCGCTCCGCTGCTGCGTGTCAGAGCTGCCGGACATTAGAGGGATCATTCCTTTTACCGCTTTTATGGGATTTTTCTAATTCCGTTGGTTTGAAACCAACCAGCCAGAGGACATGTTTGATATTGGTGTCATGCCAACTATTTTGGGCCGTCATTAATCAGTTTTTATGCACATTTTTTACCCGTTCGGACTATTTTTTCTTTATCTTCCAGGAATAATAATGTGGAAAGACTTATTTTGTGATCCAAAGTGTTGATTTTTTTTTTCAGCTCCAACCAGTTTGAGAACAGCAGTCCTCTGGTCAGCAGCGTCACCAAACTGGCCGTCCTCGCCAAAGTCTCCATCAGAGGGTAAGACGCACAAAGCAGCTCATTGGTGGTGTTAAACCCCCTTTTTTAGAGTGTTTTGCTTTCTTTTTAGAAGACAATTATTCAGTCTGTATAAACAAATAGCATATCGATGTTACACTCGAATGGCCAGTCGGCGGTTTTTAATGTGTCACAGGTATTTATTTGACTTTGAATTGCATTCAAACCTGGGCTCCGTGTGTCGTACCCCGTAGATCCGTGTCTCCCAGCCAGGTGCTGCTTCCTATCGCCAAATGGAAACCCATAGAGACTCCTGTGGTCGGGGACGACATCGGGCCAGCGATAGTTCACGTCTACGAGGTATAAAAGCACACAGGCGTCAGCCAGAGGGGCGTGTGTTGCCATTTGATTGGTTGTATCCTGTAAAACAAGCACACATTTGGATTAAAACATCTTCCGTATTGCATAAGTTTTTAGTCACTGCATTTTGCAAAAGTCTTGAGCTTCATCTCCTCAAATGTAGCTGGAAAATAATAATAAGACAAATATTGATGATTGATAATGGTCTGGCACAAAGCTCAAAGATAATTTTGTGCTCATGAGATGGGTTTAATACAAGTACATGTGTAAGATAAATTTAAAAACGAGTGCTAACTGAGATTCTGACGGAGTTCTGGCTCCTCAGCTGCTGAACAGTGGGCCCAGTACCATCAGCAAGGCCTCGCTGGAGGTGGAGTGGCCGTACCGCTATAAGAACGACTCTCTGCTCTACATCATCAACTTCAAGACGGAGGGGCCCATCAACTGCACCACCGACATCGAGATCAACCCGCTCAACGTCACCGTAAGACCGGCAAACAGTTGTGGGCAGTTTTCCCAGCTCGTGCCTGAAAAACAACAGCTGTATTTTTTGAAAAAAAAAAAAAAAAAAAAAAAAAAAACAGAAGCAAAATGCAGTAAAAATTGGTCTGTTTTTATTTATTTCTTCAGAACCCAGTTACGAGCAAGAACGTCACCACCGTGGCTCCCCCCAGAGACCAAGAGACCGGGGGCCGAAACCGCAACCACGTCCACAAGCGGGACCTGGAGTCCAGGGACGCGCAGAATGAGCTGCAGACCCTGGTGGGGAACCCGCCGCCGCTTTTATACCAACTCCTCTTTTTTTCTTTTTCTGACCGCGGGTAACCGGGCGTCCCCCCCGTGTCTGCAGGAATGCACCAGCGACTGCATGCGGCTCAAGTGTCAAGTCGGCCGTCTGGAGAGAAACAAGAACGCCATCCTCTTCATCAACTCCCGCCTGGCCGTCAACACGTTCCTGAAGGTACTTAGAGGGTCGTTTCTCAGACTGCCGGCAGTACAGTCTGCGATTTTTTTTTTTCTAAATCGTAATGGAATATTTGTTTAATTGTTTTTCTTGTGTTTCTCTCAGGCTGACAACCAGAATCGTTCGTATGTGATTCGTTCTCCGGCCTCCTTCAGTGTCATCGAGATGCCTTACAAGAAACTGGAATTGGAGTTGCCTTCAAACAGTACCTCTGTAAGACACACAGACACAGCAAATCACATCATACAGGTTTTCTACATGGATAGTCTTTTTGTTTAGCCACATTGGAAATGTCCCCTCTGATGGAGTCAATGAGCTGAACCTGGGTTTGGTTTTCGTGTCGTTCTGTCATCAAGGCTTGGCCACAAACACCAAAAGCGTTTTCGTGCACGTTCATACTTCAAATCTACATAAAACCTAATTATGTGTTAATACAGCTACAAATCTTAAGCTGTAATTTGCATGTGTTCTATTTAAAAGTATGACTTATTAAGGATCAATGAGAAATCTGATTTTCTTTTATCAGCCGTTCTTCCTATCTATGCGCTGAATATGAAGTATATAGATAGATAGATAGATAGATAGATAGATAGATAGATAGATAGATAGATAGATAGATAGATAGATAGATAGATAGATAGATAGATAGATAGATAGATAGATAGATAGATAGATAGATAGATGAAGCATCATACAGACTGGGAATACTATTTTATTATCAGACAATGAGGAGCTCCGTCAAACTAACAGCCAGAAAAAGTGATCAGGGAGCAGAATGTTCTTCCCCTCAGCTGCTTCCCCTTTTTTTCCAGGTGAGTCTGCCCGTGATCTGGGTGGCCGACACCCCCCAGCCGGTGCCGGGCTGGGTGGTGGCCCTGGCTGTGCTGGCGGGCCTGCTGCTGCTGGCGCTGCTCATCTTCATCATGTACAAGGTGAGCCGGCCGTCCGCCGCCATCTTGTTTTGTCGTGGTCGCCTTTCCTCGGAAAAACAACTGAATGCCTCCGCTCATCTATTCTCCTCCTGCTCCAAACAGTTGGGCTTCTTCAAGAGGGTGCGCCCCCCGAAGGAGGACTGCATCGAGAAGGAGCAGCTGCAGCCGGAGGAGAACGGCAACACCGACGCCTAGAAGAGAGAGAGAGAGAGAGAGAGAAAATCAGGGTTAAACGGCTCGGAGAGAATTCACTGTATCCACTGTTGGGCGGCAGATAACGGTACTCGTTCAAGTTTTAATGAGGTGTCCTTATAGTTTGCGATTGCGTTTGTGCCAGGCGAGAAGGCGGGAAAAACACTGGTCACAGATTTAAACCCTCAGCGCTCTAATTCTTCCATCTCAAACGCGGGACGTTAAAGGAATAGTTCACCATTTTAGGGGGAATGAAAAGCTGGGCGTGAGAGCCGGAGGTCCACAAAGGGCTTCTGTGGGAGAATTATCTTAGTTCAGAGGACCAAAGCACATCTAGACACAGGTTTTGATATAAAGGCAACAATTAGACGTATCTGAGAGAAGCGCATTTCCCTCACTGCTGAACTAATCCTTTAACTTATTAACCAGCATGTACGCTGGGCACATTCTGGCATGTTTTGTACAGAGATTTGAGCCCCCACACACACACAGTTTGGCCTGATATCTAATTTGCACATTCTCTGGTCAAATCACAAAATGGCCGACGAGCCAGTGGTACTCGTTGCCCAAAACTGCTGATACGTTTGAGGTGTATGCGGGGCCTTTCTAAACTCTAAACTTTACGGAGATTCGAAAGTGGTCCAAGTGCTGGTTTTTGGGGGCTGGATCCCGGTCCAAGTGCTGGTTTTTGGGGGCTGGATCCTGGAAGAAGGAAGAAGAAGACTTGGGGTTCCAGGAAGTTGGGAGACAAACACTGGCAACCGTGGCAACCAGAGCTTAGCCACAGCCCACAGAGCTGACCCGAAAACTTTTTTTTTTTTTCTCCACCGAACCAGCAATAAGGCAGCAACCCGAAATCCAACCACCCGATTTGAGATGACGGTTGCAGTTCTATATTTACCCTTTTTGTATTTTCAGCCTCTGCTTTTGCTTCCTGCGTGGAGTTTGGGGACCTGGAGGGGGCGTTTGTTTCCGGGTGTTTTGTACAAACTTTGTAGCAAACAGATTGGTGAGTCCAACTATTTTTCAACTAAATCAAGAAAGGGTTTTGTATCATTTGTACTCCTCTCCTTAAAATCGCCGTCATTTATAAGGAGATTCTCTGACCCGTAAACCGGATCGCTCGTTAAACTCCACCCCTGAAAAACGCAAGGTGTAGTTTCCATATGCGCTGCTCTTTTGGGGTCACTTATTTGAAATCTGCGGCATAACAAACGCAATAAGGGGTATTTTTCTTTTGAATAATTTGCGTCTGGGGGCGGAGCTTAGCGAACGGTCAGTCCTTAATTTGATGCCTTTTTCCTGCACTGAGGCCTCTTTAAGATTTCTCTTGTTTGTAAGACGACTTTCCTCCGATTTCAGTGGTGATTGGCAGCTTCGCTGAGAACAAAAGTGCGACGGGTTGCTTTTTTTGTGTTTGATGAGCGTGCTTGTGTGTTATGTTTTTAAGAATAGAAGAAAAAAAACAACTTTTTTGCTATTTGCCCATATTGGGTTTGCACCATGAATTAATGTTGATGATGGCATTGGAAATGTACGAATCCAGAAAACAATCCCGGATCATGTTTTTTTTGTTTGTTTTTTCCTTTTCCACGCTTCACTCTGCTGCCTCTGAACGAAACCACTCCATCACCGCTTTCTCAACAGCTCGTAACAATGCGCTTATACTACTGGTGGACATCACTGAGACTTATTTATCGAGCATTTTTCTGGTCCTACTTATAGATTTGGTCGTTTTCTTAAAGTTTTCTTAAACTCAACAGAAAATGTGTCCAAGAGATCTTATTTCATACGACAACAACTGATCAAATATGTTGAAATTAACTTTACAACAATCATTTAAGCTTTTTTAAAGATCATGTGGTGAAAGAGATCATTTACTGCGTTTTGTGTCTGAATATTAAATCATTTCTGATTACATTTCAGTTTTGGAAGATTGCATTAATTGGTAGGGGGTCCTGCTTTCTTTTCTTTTCCATTGTGCCAAAACCGTGTCACCTTTTTCCTGGTGAACTGCACTTTTGGCTTTGGTTCACTCTGAAATCATGTGGCTCTTATGAACTGATGCGGATCAACTGGGGGTTTTTTTCTTTCGAGGGCTGTTTGAGACTTTCCCGAACAGACGACTTTTAACTTTTCATTTCTGGGCTGGAATCACTTCACCTGTGAATTCAGGTGCTTCGCTTTTGAGGTTTGAACGACTTAACTCTCAGAGGCTTCAGAATCTGTGGGCAAAAACCCAGTTTGAGTTTTCCGACCACAGCGATTTGATTCCAGTCCTTTAGCTGAATGTTTGTCCTGTGTAATGGGTTTACTGTTTATATTTAATACCGTCTTTTTTCCTCTGGCCTGATGAATATTAACTATTTTTGATGTATGTATTCTTTCACCTTGAGAGTAAAAATTAACAATTTCATAAAAATGATTTCCCTTTGGAGCTGAAATAAACAAATCTGTTCACATTCCCTTCAGTGTTTTGTCATTATGTTAATTTAAATAAAAAGGCTTAAACAGAAAGAAGACATCTAAAGGTTTTGAGCTCTAAAACTTTGATAAATCACACAAAATAAGGACTCATCACTACTTTTAAAGAAGAAAAACTACTGGATGAAGTAGCAAATCAGGCAAATAACTGATGTTTTCTTCAAGTATTTATTTCAATTGTATCTGGAAAAAAGAATACGGTGGGTGTGGTTGCATGGCTCCACTTCCAGCTCGTGTTTGACTGGTCAGTCGGTCAGCAGAAAGCTGAGGTCGCTGCCTGGCTCGTACTCCACTGCTTTCTTCCCCCTGAAAATGCAAAAAGCCTTTGAAGCCTTTCGGTTTTTAAGCTGGACTGAAAACGACGCCTCCACTTTGAGATTACAGCCACAACTACGATGGTTGTTTGTTCCTTTCTCTCACTTTTAACATGATAGAAATATTCAGTCATTTGTTTTTCTATTATATTCACAGTGAGTTATAAACAGGATTTGGTGGCAATTGGGACCAAGAGATAAACACATAAAACCACTCATCATCCGATAAATATTTGTGACCAATTGCATTATTGTAGAGTAAAAATTACCTTTGAGAAAGAAAGTCGTTAATGATATGGTAATGATTATATTTAATAAAATCCAACACCAAACTCATTTTTCTTTTTACATTCCATTTAAGAGCCTAACAAGTTGTCTTTGTTTTTTAACCATTTTATCAAAAGCAGGGTTTTTATGAGGTTAAGTCCTCAAACTGAAGGGCGAGGACTTTGTTTAATGTTAAAGAAAAACAGTTTGGACTGGTTAGGCTAATAAGGTTTGAGGTCTAATAAAGTTCATTTTAAGTGATGCTGAAATAAGATTAATATGAGGCTACATTTGCCGTGCGTTACCTGATGAACAGCCGGGCATTTGTGGTTCCAAGCAGCGTGGCTTTGTTCCCTTCCACCAGCAGCATGGAGCCCTCCCTCAGACCCTAAAAACACAGCCGGAAACGATCAGAATCTGTCCGATAACATTTCATCTGCTCCTCTTTGCCGTCGCTCACCAGAACAGAGGGAGTCTCGGGTTCTTCGTGGTACTGAGTGATTCTCAGCTCTCTGGTCTCCTGAAAAAGAAGAATGACATAAGGTGAAAAAGAAATACCCAAACCATGCAGATAAAAACTCCGAATACAAAACAGCTGCCAGAAAAACATTTAAAAAGAAAGAAATTTAACAGATTGTGTTTAGTTTGGTTCTTTATGGCTGCAATACCCAAAAGCCGCCACCAGGGGGAGCTTTAGGAACGCTAACAAGCGGAAGAAACCAAAAGTAAATCAAATTTAAGTATTTTATTCATGACCCTCCCAAATGTAAATATCTAAACAGCAAACAGCTGGAGGGAAGAGGGGGGTTTGGGGTGTCTGGTGTCTTTTTTCCTCGTTTTTTGCATCCAGTTTCTCCAGTTCGAACCTTTGCCGATTTCCAAAAAAGGTTTAAAGTTTCATTCAAATCCAAAACAAACTAACCAAAGCCTGCACATATCTTCTCTGGCAGACTTTAGACTGCATCCCAGCCTGCAAAGCGTCAAACATCATAACACCAGACAAACTTTTCGTTCCACATTGCTGACGGCGCACTTTATTCCGTCGGCTAAGCAGTTTCGCAACGTCTCATGTTGCCCAACTTCAAACTATGTCCCGTTCGAACTCTTTCCTCCGGCTTTATGGAAAAATTAAACATTACTTCCCTCCTCTTTAGGGGTTTTTTTCTTCTTTAGAAGAAACATGCGTGACACATATAAGTCAATCCAAAACGTGGAAAAAGGCCTCAAACGGAGCCGGATTTAGTGGATACGGCGGAGGAAAGGTGGGGTCTGTATGGCTCACCCCCATGTGGCGGCTGTTGGGGTCGGGGTCCAGGTAGTGCGGGTTGATGTTGAAGGGAACCAGGCCGATGGCGGCGAAGGAGGGGGGGTAGACGATGGGCATGTCGTTGGTGGTGCTGATGCTGGCGGTGGCCACGTTGGTCCCCGCGCTGGAGCCCATGTAAGGGACGCCGTCCTGGAAGAGAGGGGCAGGAGTCACGTCCCCGAGGGCTTTTGGAAGCTTTAAGTTTGAATTATCTACCGGCTAAATTTAAGCCACAACGCTTCTGAAAAGCTTCCCAAAAGAAGGCAGCCAATTCCTGTAAATCAGGCCCCAGAGGCTCTGGTTCATCATGCTGCTTCACCTTTTTAACCCGATTCTTTAGTTGGAAACCTGAGAATAAACAAAAGTACTAAAATAACATTTATTGGACACAGTTAAAGTATATCAGCTGGGCTCTTCACAAACAAAAAACCTCTCTCTGGGTCTCTGTCGCCAAAGAGCCCCAAATTAAAAAAATATATATATATATTTTTTTTATCTGATGTGAAAAATTTAGAAAAGGGAGGGCTACTAAAGCTAAAAGCTTTTAGCTGGATTCAACAACATGTACAAGCATGTCCTCAGATGGATGCCAAGTGGAGATATGTCAAATTTATCCTAGAATTTGATTTCATGTCTTTAAATGAAGTGATGAAAAAGGGAAACTACTCATCTTTCAAGCATACTTACCCTCATCGTCACACTAAATCCTAATGAGTTGCACATAATAAATGATGGCTTTCTCTCAAACCCTACAAAAAAAAAAAAAAAAAGCCCCAAACTCTTTGGGAGGACCAGAAACAAGTGTGCTTATTGGCCAGTTACTTCTGACCTAAACAGGCCAGGTGATAACATAGGAACGTGGTAACAAAATGTGTTTGTGTTGACCTAACGACGTGTGTTTAATGCAACAGAGAGAAAAAAGAGAATCTGTGTTTAAAGCCAGAGAATTTGACACAAAAGTATACTTCTAAAAAGGAATAAGACGATCAGTCATTTGCATAGATCATATTATAGCATACTATGCTAAAGTGAGTCATTATAGTCAAATTCTAACAACCTCCATCACTCTCCTCCGGATCTCCGTCACCACCTGGTTGTCGTAGAGACTCTTCAGCAGCCGGAACGTGTTCCCGCCTCCTGCAGACCAAACCGTTAGCGTGCAGCAAAGCGAGAGAGAGAAAAGAAAGGCCGGTTCCACGCCGCTCACCGATGAAAACGGCCTCCGCCCTCCGGACGGCATCGACGGGGTCGGCGGCCTCGTGGATGCCGTCCACCTCATAACCTGCAAGAGGCCGAACACACGGTTCTGTTTTCAGTCTGGGCCTTTCAGGAAGCTTTTTTTGTGTCTAAAAGCTGAGCGAAGCAAATAAAAAAAGTCCAGATTTTGTGTCTTTCTCAGACTTTATAAGCTCTCTGACCTCTGAACTTTAAATACACATGGACTAGATAAGTGCTGCACCGGGAGTAAAGGTGACCACGATCATAAAGGAATCAAAGGTCAATATTTGATCTCCTGTGATAAAACACCAACTGTTGATCTTTTACAACCAACCATTAAGAGTGCAGATCAATAAAATAACATATTTTCTTTATTATACAAGTAATGCAAAAGTGTTCAATGTGCTCTGAATAATGGAATATAATAAACACAGGAAAGAATCTATACAACACCCAAGATGCACTATAGAAAATAAATAAATAAATAAATAAATAAATAAATAAATAAATAAATAAATAAATAAATAAATAAAGAGTAAATAGAGCCTTTAATGTAATTCCAGAAGACAACCTCATAAATAAAAACAGATACATAAAAATACACACTGAGAATCACAAAGTGTAGAAACAATTCAGCTGTTAAATTCCAGAGAAAGTGATGAAAACATTGAAAGAGGGAAACGGTTGAATATCGATGCGTAAATGTTAAAAAGAACTGACTCTAAACTAGTTGTGGAGACCTACCCAAAGCCTTGAACTTGTCCCTGGCCGTCTTGGTGTAGGCGTCTCTGTCGTGGAGCGCGTAAGGAACAAACAGCACCCTTTTCACATTTCTGAAATCCACAAACGACCCACGGTCATGAGAACGTTCCTCACGGGTGTTTTGCGTGTTTTTCTCATATCCAAACGTGTTTTAGGACTGGAAACTTCCCCGTTACTTGGCGTTCGGTGACCCGGTGGGACGTGGGTTCCAATTCCGGACGCGGACGCGCGTCTTTCCATCTGCGCCTGCGCCAAAAAGAACTCCAAAAACACTTACTTTCCGAAAAAGCTGGAGATGTGCTGCTGACAGTGCTCCAGGTACCCGCCGCCGTGCAGCGTGGAGTTGGACACCAGCAGGAGTCTCCGGTTCATCTCTATAGGGGCAGAAACACGACAGAGAAACGGAGAGAAACAGAGAGAAACGGAGAGAAACGGAGTTCCGGGTCACAGTTCACGCGTTTGTGCGCCGTCAGGGCTCCTCAGGGGCCATAAACGCGCGTCTCTCCACAGAGGATGAGGAACGTAGGGCTCCTCCGGTTTCCCAAGTGACCGAATTGGGGGGAATATGTGGCCAAAATAACAAAAAAACAAAGAGAAATTAAATTAAAATAGGCCTTATGTATGAGTTGTATAAGCAGCTCTGTGATGAGCTCTTTAAATGTCATATAATCACCATCAATGATGTTTAAAGTACAGCATTTCTGAGATAAATAGATCTTATAGACACAGCAATACACAACAACAACAACTGGGTCCCCATTTGTCCTGAAATGTTCTGGAAAAATGGGCTAAATTGACCAAATCACCATGTTTTCTATGTCAGATTTTCACTTTGTGTCAGTTTTAATTAAAAAAAATCAGATAATAAAGCAGATAAATACCAGATCTAACATGTCATACGGTTTTAACCCTCACACATGAAGGATTGGGATAAGATTTTTAGGGACCAGTGTAATTTAACTGATAAATGGGGAGTTTTCTATTCATTTGAGTCTGAAAATGCAGATTATCTGTGATATTATTGGCAGTTGTGGAGTTTTGATTTTCCAAAGACAACACCTCATTGTGGTCTAACGTTAGATTTGACTAATGTGGCATTTGAAACCGTGCTTCCCTTGTTTCGTGGGGATGTAACACAAATGTTGTTTTCCTTCTGAAAGCTGAGCTCAATCGCACAATACCGTAATACCCCGTATATAAGCGCACATAAACACGGTAAAAACAGACCGTGTGTCGCAGGAAAAAGGGTCCGGTAAAAACCGAAGCACAACTTTCTCCTTTTGGATTTAGTTTTATATTGGAAACAATCTTTAGTGGGGATGCTTTTTATATATTCCCTACTGCACTATGCTGTCTATTTGGCAGACCTTACCTAAATCGGTCGAGTAAAAAAACCCTGTTCTTGTCAACGCTGTCAGAACAAAGTACGGGAAGTCAAAAGGGTCCAATTGAGTTTACTTCAACCACAATCTGGCGTCTCGTTAGTACCATCTGGCGTCTGTAAATACGTAACAAGCGCCACCAGGCTTTTTATTAGCATGGCCTGGGGCTTTAAACATGCAAAACCACCGGAGCTTTTTTAAATTCTCAGATGGTGCCATTTAACGTTTGGTGGCATCTTGTAGTTGCAGCAAACCTGAGACATCCATTTTATTGTTCCTCCCAATGAGGAAACAGCCCAAACCTTACTGGGCAAAAACTCACCTGAGCTCACCTGCCCAGTGAGAGGCAGCTGGGATGAGAATGAGCTCTTCTAAGTCTGAGTTCATCACCCAAAGGATGTTGTTGTTTCAACCGTGGGTCCTCTTTGGGCCTAAACATCAGAATCAGGTGGTGTTAAAACTGGGAAAGTGGAGTTACACTCATGCCTGCGTTGCCTCAGTTCTCTTTTTATTGTTTCACATTCTCACCCAAAGTTTTCCTCAGTGTCTCTCCGTTTTTGTTTCCCCCCTTTCTGTCAGTTTTGATTGTCCTCATCTGCCACCACCTACCAATCACTCTGTGTCTGAGTTCCCACATTGTATCTACTCCTTATCAGGCCCTGGCTGGGACCAGGTTTTCCTCTTGTTCCAGTCTCTCTGGTGTCTGTCTTTGTCTGGTTTTTGCCCCAATTGCTCCATGCCTCTGTTGTTTTTTTCAAATAAATCAACAAAGATCTTTCTACATCCGGCCTCCGTCTGTATTTAGATTTTTCACACCTCTAACCGTGAAAAGTTTTAGTTTCCCTAAAATAAAGACTTGTGGCACGTCCAGGTATGAAGCCCACTCATCTGGACGGGTCAGAAAAGCCAAACCTGTCCACAGTGAGAGCATCACTGACCGCGGGGAGGTGTCCAATACGACTTAGAAACGATTGAACTGGAGTTTTCAAAATCAAAAAGAAACGTTGAGCGTGTTTTGGCTTCGGGGTCGATGTTCTTTTCCATTCTGGGGTTTTTACTATAACCTCAATCATGAGCTGGAATAATTATATACACAGTTAGAAAAAGCATGAGGCAGAGGAAACTGACGTTTTTTTGTTTGCAGCTACATCTTAGGCCAGAAAATAGACGAATAAAATAAAAAAAACACTGCGTAAAAGTCGTCTGGGCAGAATGAGGATTCGATGGGGTTGAGGTTCCATGCCTGTGTTTTTTTTTTGGGGACAGAGCGCTTTTTATCCAGCGGTGCAGGCTCCGGCCAGATGTGCATTGCGCTGGCTGCGTGTCACATCATGTGGAGCAGCGAGACTCCGAGAAAAACGGAGGCAGCAGTGGGGGAGGCGGGGCCAAACCACATCTGGATGAAAAACATCTGGACTCCCCCCCCACCCACCCCTCTTATGCGTACATGAGGGGCTGATAACGGGGCTGACTCTACCGACGCGTCGACTGGACCTACCGTGCGCCCCTGTGTCCGTCCGTGCGTCCAGCTGTCCGGCTGTCCGTCCCCCGGAGATGATGGCTCGGTGCGGGACGTTTTGGACCGGGATCCTCGTCCTGCTCGCCGCCTGTGAGTTTTTTTTCTCTCTTCTCTCTTCTCCCTCTTCGCCTCGGAGTTGTTTAGAAGGGCCCAGCGGAGAGGGGATGGATAGAGAGAGAGGGGGTCGCTTTGTTTTTGCTGATCTTTAAGGAGGAAGGCGAGATGAAAACCAGCTCAGTCCGACGTAAAGAGTCATTTCAGAGGCATTTAAAGTTTAATGGGAGTTGGTAAAAGCAGGCCCAACACATGTAGCCTACTGTGCAGATTTGGGGAGTTAGAACGTCATCTTCAGAGCTTTAAAATATCAAACTGGAACCACTAAAATCACATTGGTGACCTATTCTCTGTGTTTAAGAGCCAGTTCTGGCTAATTCTTTCAGTTTTAGCCCATCAAACTTGATCCACTTTTTTGTTGGATAAAGTTAAAAAAGAACCCTGATTTGTTTCTTACTATTGTTATTATAGGTTTTACGTCATAACACATTCTCTTGTATGTCTATTATTGCAAAATACAGTTATTAGTTCATGTTATAGTTACCTGACATGTGCAAATGAACATTAAGTTTAAACCTCTGTTCAGGGAAATAACTTGATGATACTGTGGTTTACAAATGTGATTTAAGCAGTAAACTTTTACTCTATCTATCTATCTATCTATCTATCTATCTATCTATCTATCTATCT